CGGGACACCATCACAACATGACCGGGACACCGTCACATGACCCGGACGCCATCAAAACATGACCGGGACACCATCCGCCCACCAGCTCTGACGGTGACCCGACGGCGCCCGTCCGCCTATTAGTTTTGCAAGACCCCATAGCATGGCTATTGGGGAATTAATTACGTAACCAGTTTCTGGGCTTCGAGCGCATGGTGCTCTCCAACAGGTACAGCACCATCATAGGACTCATCAGTATAAGAGTATAACCAGTGGTCGCCCTCTGGAGCCAGTCACTGAGCCGCAACTTCTTCCTCCCGCCCATACACATTTACCCCCTTGCTTGGACCCATAGTGAACTGATTCCAGTTCATACGAAGAACTCCACAAAAAACAAAAAACACTCACCATCACATCCCCCCAGCCGGGTCCGAGTCGCCAAGACTTCCAACCCGCTCCGCGGCACAATGCGCCGCTCGAAGCTGCGCATGGCCAAGCGGCCTCGCAGCTGCAGCTGGGCACCCCGTGCCAGATCGTCCTGGCCGAGTTCGGGCGGGTCGCCGGTCGCCGGGAAGTCTGGCAAGCGTGGTGCCGACCTGTGACTTGCTCACAAAGGGCTTCGAAAAGTTACCTGGGACATCCTGAAAAATTGACTCCCTCGTTCGTCTTCCTGTGGCTTTCGTGTTGAGCCCACCGCTTCTCGGGGGTATACAGTAAACAGGTTCCAACATGGGGTGCAAAACTCGTATGCCTTCATGCATGCCTCACACTACAGCCGGTGACCAGTAGGTGGGTGTGCTGGTGCAATATGCTCTTTGGTGCTGCACTTGGAGTTGTGCTACATACCCCTTCACCATCAACGAGGCCGGTGCAACTAGATTCCGTGGTCTGGGAAAGTCTGACGCAAAATACTGAAGATCGATTGGATTCGATACTTGCGAGATCTTGCGAGTACAGTCAGTTTACCCTTAATTAGAGAGTTGAATCACTGTTGAAGTCGGCCCAGTCCTGTGTGATGCAAATGTCAGGCTTACCCGATTGGTTGGTTTCTTGCGCTCGGGAACACGCTATGCTCAAGGCTGTCAATATTGCATTCCTCGTGTGAGCCATGAACAGCCGGCACAATGTCAAACATCATGAAGGATCAAAACACAAACGTCCAGTCAAATCACAGAGTCCGCCAGAGCAATCCAAAGCAGTGCCAACATTGTCGACTTGGTTTTACACCTGCCCCTTGATTGACAAGCCTGGTAAGCGGAATTATTTCTGAAGACAAGGAGTTTGACATCCCTCCCCATAGAATGGCTGAAAAAATAACTAGAGGCTCCTAGGTCCTTAGGTCCTAGGGGAACGATGCATTATTTTGCCAAGTCCTTACAAGGGAGAGGTATCACCGGGAAATTACGAAAAGGACCTATTGGGCTAATTCTGGGTCAAGGAGATTCCACAGCCCAATTGCCGGTTTCAGAATATTGTGACCCAGTGACCTACATGCATGTCCCATCACCTAGTGAAGACTCCGAAACCGCCATACACGTGTGGTAACACGACTTGCGGACACACGACTAAAGCGCAACCCTCGACATCCGGGATGACACCCAAAATCAACCCACTTCCATTCGCCGTGTCCGTCCCTTGTCTGATTCATCTCTCTGTTTTCAGCCGCTCTCTGGTCCAAGACACTTGATGAAGCCCCCCGACAGCTCGTAGCGCATGGCCAAGGCGCTCAGGTCCACGTCGCCGGACAGGGGCAAAGCCGCTGGAATCAGGGAGCTCCAAATGTGCTTGCGCAACACGTGGTCCTAATGGCCCGGGCACCGCACCGCATGTACCAGTCCCGCCCACGAACGAAGTCTCTTGGGGGCAAAGTACGAACAAAAGCAAGTGCAGCACTACCAAACTATATAAATTAATATTTAATGACATGAATTAAGCATACATCACATGATATATTATGCATATATATATATATATTGGTTCCTAGCCCGGATCGAATCGACGAAGCCGCCGCTCCGGGCGGCAAACCAAGAGTCCGGTTTTTGGAACTCGATGGCCAAGGTGATCCGGCGATGCATCGCCTCGTCCAGGTCGAAGGGCCGATTCGTGGCCAAGATGATCATGCCTCGAACTGGGGAGCCAGGCCATGCTGGAGTGGTGTTGATGAATGTTGTCATAAGGTATGACAAAAGGCCGATGCCAGTGGGAATGTTGTCAACATAAGGTTTTAAAGAGATCTTCTTCGAAAATCATCGATTTAGGACCTCCAACCCTGCGGAGATCAGGTCGTCTTAGGTCGTCCAGGATCTGAACATGGTCTTCTGACCAGGACTTGTGATCTGAAATGGCATCACCAAATCAAGATGAATCAAGTCAATAATGTCAATAGAAATACAATTACATAAATACATTATACATAACATGTATGTATGGAATATGTTTTAACAGTATCTAAATGTATTTAACATATTTAACTACATTGACCCCTAAAGACATCTCCAAATCTAGAATCACAATGAATCATAGAAATGCATTGCAGTCAAATGATTTCACGCCGGCCGGGGGGTCCCACACTGTCGTTGATCTACTATTTCGCCTGGGTGGTGAGTATCGCAGCCGACATGCACATGTCCATAATTATGTATCCATATGTTGTAGTTGTCAGGTGTATTAGCAGGTTGTTGATTCAGGAAACCGACGCTGCCTGAGAGCGTCATCTACGTAGGACGTGTTTCTCATGGACGTACTGGCATCTGTCGGGTCTAGCAAACGTTAGTTGCCGACCCAAACAACAAGCTTTGGACAATAAGTCATACTGTCTGACACTTCTCAGGTTGATGAAGTTAAGTTGTCTAGTTGTACCGGCGAGCCGTACCAACTCATTCCTGCCTCCTTAACACCCGATCTTTTTCGTCCCCTTTCTTGCCCCAACCACGTTCTACACCGTGATGAGGTTGATGTCTTCAGCCACAGTGTCCCATGTAAATCCAAGTGGCCGTCATGCCGCTCTAACTCAGTCAGGAGCATGTTCACATCCCTCTGGTTGGATTTATCCCGAGACTCAAAGATGGATTCACACTCGTCGAAGAACAAGACCTGGGTCCGAATTTGCAGTACGGATCCTTGTCTGTGCAATGTCTCTTTGGAAGGCCATGGAAAATTGGAATGTATAAGGACCCCGCAAGAATGACACTCCCTGAAATCCTCGTGGAAGCGGGAAAAAAACCATTGTTTGAAGGGGCCATGGCTCCTCCAAGGGGCCATGCCATGACGAATGTGCGACGGTTCACTGGAGGACCTGCATGTGACTGCTCGACGGTTCACTGGAGGACCTGGGTTTATGGAGGAGCCCACGCTTTCTCCGCAAAACCAATAGGAGTCCTTTAAGGGCTGTTGACGATCCGAGTGGTTTTAGTTTTAGACCAATCAAATGTCAATCGCCCTATTCAACGCTTGTTTTGCCATCCTTTTGAATAGTTATAGTATGTTATTTATATAATTATATATATATTGCTTAAATATACATGCTTCCCCCTATGCCAACGCCATTCAACTCGTTTGACAGTCGAACATGACCAGCGGCCAAGCCTTGCCAAGTTCGGAACTTGCTTTGGAAAAAGCCTTTGACGGGAACCTGATATATGTGTTTGGTTAAGTGGAACCCAAGCGCAATGTTCTCCCGAAGAGCAACAGATTAATACAATTCTACATATATAGTCACGTATACCAGTAGGTGTTTACTTCTCACAGGATGGCTGAGTAACTTCTATACGAGTAGTATGGTCTATCACAGCTAGCCGCCATCCGCCCATTCGCTACAGTAGGCGGACGTGGTTCCTCCCATCGGATCCTCCCGTCCATTCGCCGGTGTCGGCACGGCGTCATTGATCTTCGACTCCCGGAAGATCATCCGGATGAAGCCGGCGGCCTCTCTCCAAAGCGCTCTGGTGTGGGGACGGACCCCGCTCGAAAAGCGCTCGAAACATGGGGGATGAAATGCTGTGACATAGTGTGGATGTCATGGATGGGTGGCTGGTTGGATGGCTGATGGCTGTCAAAATTTGCCCGGGAGTGAGCACCTCACCTTGAAGAGCCTGCGATAAATGGAGGTGCCCCCCAAGAAATGTCAAAGATTGCCTGAAAGGGTTCAAAAGATCTTGACCAACAAGCGACCCAAGCTTTAAACTTTCCTGGCCCGGGCGATGGAAAACACGCGTCCCAAATTAACAGTTTAACAGTTCCCGCTTGAAGGATTTTGAAAACTCATTGCACATCCCATATCATCCCATCATGTCTGCCATGTCCAGGAGCATCTGTCGACCCCGACCTGCTCCCCACCAAGAGAAGGAAAATTGATGAGCAGCAGCTTCTTTCCAAGGAGGTTCGCAATGGCATTCGCCGTCATGGTTTTCCCTGTCCCTGTGCCGCAGGGGAAGCGTTTCACCACCAACGTTTTCGGAGCAACACCGACTCTGGTGATTCACGCTTGAGGAAAGCAACTCTTGCTTCCTCTCGAGGGCGGTCTGCCGGTGTGAGACCACTTGATTACAGTAACTTCTAGCACACTGGGAGGTACAAACCTGTGACCATGCCGCCCTCGGTTCACCAAGTCATGAAACACCTTCGGTTCTCCACCTGAGTCGCCGTAAAAGAGCATCACCAATCCACTGGAGCTGATGGTTTCATCCAGTTTGAACTGCTGCTTGCTTTTCCTCACCACAGCAAGGTGGCGACTTGTACTGGACTTCAAACAGCCCGGCAAAGAAAGTCAATGCGAACATGATTGAGGCTTATCACGCCTTTGAAATCCTTTGAAGCACCCGAACATGTGTTGGTCTGGAAAACAGCACCAGCACGGAAGGCCCAGCTGGGCGAGGTCGAGTGAGGAGAAGCACACATCACAAGTTTCAGGTGGTGATGCAAAAGTCGTTTGGGCCATGTCAAGGCAAGGTGCTTGAAGAGAGACAAGCTTTGAACCGTTTTGGTAATCAATGTCTTGGTCTCTTCTGGCAGGACCACAGACTCCATCTTTGTCCTGGGAATCTCATCTGGGAAGCAAACCATTGATTTAAAAAAATGTCTGTCAAATGCTGTGAGTAACACTGCAATGCGTTTGGACCTCTAGTATGACCCTCTGCTTAGTTTATCCAGCCCAGTTATGTCTTTGATTCCCTGATTTTGATGCTGCAAGTGGCTGTGGTAGATACAAGTGACTTCCATCCTCAGTGCAAACCAAAAGCAACACGAGCCAAAAGGATCTCAACATTTACACAGCCATCACAGAACACACTGGAAGAGCTTGTGTTGCTTTGTGGGCCACGTTGATTGAATCGATCTCACCCATCATCAACCACCAGCAAGCACAGTCAGCCACGATTAAGCTGCTTTTCACCCTCCATCATAATCACCACCGACAAGTGACATGGGATCAAACAGTGACGGGAGTGATGGGATCGTTCGAAGCGGGTGATGGACAGCTTTCTGGCCAAAGGCACCACCAGCTGATGAACCTCGCTGTCCAAGCCGACAATGAAGTCCACCATGCGCCGATCGATCTCCACCTCCACCCGCTGCGTTTGGTGTGTTCCGGCCGTGTTGAACGGGTGGGCGAAAATAGATGACAATGAGCCTTGTGCATGTTTGCGCTGGCATGCCAAAAATCTGGGACCCTGGGCCTGGGACACCTTTAACTTTAGCATTTCCTTTTTGTTCCTGGGCATGGCCATGTAGAACAGGACAAGTCACAGGACAAGACGAGAGGTCTCCATGCACTCCTTTCGTGCTCACGTGGATGATGTGATCCCTCACGAGGACCGAGTCCTGGCAGCGCGGATCGGATCGGCGTGGAGACTTCGATTGGGTTCACCACTAGAAGGGTATTTGGTATCTACAGCACGTGGTCAGGAACATTCAGTTACTGCATGTTACTGACGTCTTTCTAGACGAACTTGCTCAAGTTTCCTTGAATCCCTTGAATCCCTTGAAACCCCAGCTCCACCATGCAAGAACCACATCCAAACCACCAGGCGCCCACCACCTCACCACCTCCCCAACTCCTCTTTTTGTTCGCATCTGGTGAGAAGAACACCTCGCCTTGTAGAAGGACTTCCGGTTGGCGATTTGACTCGCTAGGTCCGGCGACAGCAGCGCCAGCACCGTAGCCACATCGATGGGCTCGCCACGGCAGTGATACATCCCAGCACCACGCTGTAGGAAGCGATGGGGTAACAGGATGAGGCCCACCAAGAGGATCACCTAAGTGAAATGATCCAGTCTTGGTGAGTTCAACATGTTCATAGTGTTTAGCAGCCTCGTTCATTTCAATGCCTTTTCCCTGGACAAAGCTCAACGAAAAGGCCTCTAAATCCTTGTGTGGATTGCTGCCAGACGCGTTTAGATTTCAACAGGTGCCATCTGGATCAATGGTGCCATGCGTGGTCCACCAACCAACTGAGACACACGAGGATCACTGCGCCACACGTGTCTGTCACACGAGGTCGACTGTAATGTTGTGGGGAACCCGCATTTTTGGGGGGGATGTGGTGGTACATGTTTCCCCTTTGGAGCGGCATTGAAGTGGGCAAACGCTGATTCTAAATCATTTCAGGTGCTCAGGGAACCTATTTGGGCAGCAACAGTCTCAAGAGAATACACAGGTTTAGGTAGCAAATGAGTGGAAACCGCAGCAGCGCCTCATTACCCTCGGTTGAGACAGAATAGCAAAAACACCTGGTGGAAACGGCCACCTGAAGGTGATCGGGTTTCAGTCTCGGCATGCCTCAGCCAGCCATTGATTTCCTTATTTGGCAAGAAGTCGATCTGGTAACATATATGGTTACTTACTTGGGGGTATCCGCTCTACTAGCCAACCAACCAATGGCAAAAGGTAGTAAAAAGCAATCTCTGGTCTTAGCAGGTCTTAGCATGTCTTAGCTTGAGACCTGAACATCAAAAAAACCTCAATGGGAATCAGCGAGTCTGATTCAACCGAGTTCCTCTGAAGAGCTACAAAACGACTTAGGACATAGACCAGAGACATGTTGGCCATACAGCACTTTGGAAAGCATGACAAAATAGTAGCTGAATCACATCCTGTTCAAACTTGGGCCCCTTCAGTTACTATAGTAGCGTCCTTGTTACTAGTAGAAATGCCCTTTGCTACTAGTAGCCTCTTGTTCCTAGTAGTAAGGCCAGGAGCCCCTAGTAGCGTCCTTGCTCCTAGTAGCGATGCCAGGAGCCCCTAGTAGCTTCACCTTCAAGGTGACATGATTCTTTCAGGTTATGTTGCTTGGCAAGGTTGTCCATCTGATCGAATTCTTCGTTGGTCCAAGTTACTACCTCCTTCTCGAACTCGTTCATTTGCCTCACGGGCAGGTTCGGTTTTGGACGTCTCTACGCCAACATGGCCTCACCCAAAATGACAACACTCAAGAAGAAGGCTGTCTCAACCATTGGGACCCATTGGGACCACCACTTGACCTCAACCAAGCTGATGCATTTTTGGTGCTGTCCATCTGGTCCTTCCCATTTCAATCCATTTCACAAATGCTAATGCAACATGGCCCACCTGGAGGACAAGATCCGCTCCAAGCGAGGAATCCAAGCAGACGGGCTCAGCTTGGTCAAGCGCATCCGCTCCTGATCGCGCTGGTGACGGTCAGCAAAAAACCTTTCCCTCCAGCATCTGTCCAGCGGTTTCAACAACGGCCGAACCGCGAGGTTTCAACCTCGCAAGCGTCACCGTGTCGCATTGTGCTCTTCGTCAGCTGTCACCATCAACTCAATGCTCCGTCCAACCGTGCTTGAAAAGTTCAAACATCAATTCATCCTTTGATCCGTTTCGCAGGGTTTGGGCAGGTTTGCGCTCCTGCATCTTCCGGTTCAGCTGTTTCACCTGACCTTCCAGTTCGCGGGCCTGGCGCTCGGCCCGAAGCAGCTTCGGTGTGTCGAGGCGGAGGAAAGCGGTGAGTCTATACAAGGCCTCTCAGTGTAGACGTGTCTGATCAATCCATTGCGTGACCTGGATGTATATGACATTATATAGGTTTCCGCCGTAAAACGTGCCAAGTGGAGGGGGACGTCCACTTGGCACACCACTATCTTTGGGCACATCTTGCAGCACGGCAGCAGCTCCAAGCCAATGCCCCCAGCAGCCCAGACCTCCCACCAAAACATTTAGGCTTGCTTGAACGAACATAGGCTGGCGCCCTAGCAGCCTGCACTACAAACCAACCACTTGGGCTGCAAAAAACATGTAGAGCCGCCGGGCGGGCGCTTTCGGGAGCTGCAAGAACCGATTGCACTGTACAAAGACTGTGCGGTGAGTCTCCTGAACTGGCCTTGATATACGTATGCGGGAAAAAACACATAAAAAAGGATGTGTGTGTGGTAAACCACACTGATTCAAACACACACACACACCACACACACACCACAGCTACATGCTCGAACTTCATTACCCTAAGGTGAGAACAACAAACCAAAACAATCACCTGTTTCGTACGCACGCACCCTACGAACCGTCCGGCTGGCTTTCAAAAGACTGGACCATGTATCCGCAAACATGAGACATCGACGTTATTTTTGCCGCAGCCCCAGCCCCTGCCCCATGTGGGTCCGTTGTTGGGCTATCTCAGCGCAGTACGCATTTTGATTCCTCAAGGCTCAAGGGACCCAAGGGACCCAAGGGACATAGACTTGCCCACTGCTAGCCTGCACTCCACAGCACATACACGGCAGCCGCTCTTTCACCCCCCACCCACCCCAACCGCCCCGTGTAAAGGCGCAACAAAAACAAAAACCTTGAGGGCTGCCAACGCAACAAGCGGCGGCACCCGTTTCAAGAGCTGCCACACCCAACCTGCAAATTGCAAGAGGACACAACACTGACAAGAAGGAGAAAGGTGGTATGCAAGGGTTAGCCCGAAGCAGCTAAGCATGCAAGCAAGCTTATGAACTAACTTATGAGTCTTTGAGGAAAATGTCCAAACATGTCCAAACGGCTGCCACAAGTCACAAGACTAATTAGACAATGGGATGCGGATGAACAAAAAAGCAACGGAACTGGACTCTTTACTTGTCTGTCTCCCTCTCTCTCTCCTGAAAACGACTTTAATATCTTCCATCATTATATAATATACAACACTTCCATCTTCTGCACAAGCAACTCCACAAAACATTCCAAAACATGAACTCTGTAAAACTATTTGTGTATATATATATAGATAGATACATATAAAGACATAAACACACACATATATATATTATATTATATATATGTGATATACAGTATATGTAAACACAAAAAATCATAATCCTAAAGTTGTTCCAGCTTCCTTCCTCCGGTGACTGGCCTTCCTCCGCTCCCGTCCCGCGTCGCTGCGACGCGGCCAGGGAGGTTCTGGATAGCTGGGATAGGTGTCCTGGTGGCACTCGGTGATGGCCAATACAGCTGCAGCTATACAGCTCTGTCACAGGCATGTCAGTGTTGCTTGTGGTGTGCTGCTTGCGGTTTCGAGGACAGGAGGTGCCTTGTTGTCAAGTGTTCCTGGTAGTTCCTTGTCGTCTGCCACTTCACAACAAGACACAAAAAAACGAAACAACAAGTTAACTGATTTTATTAATGTATGTATATATATATATATATTTAGTTATGTTTACATCTATGTATATGCTGTGTACGTACTATTTGTTTTACTCCGGGGTGGCTTTGTAATTTTGACATTGCAACGCATCGATCTTGCATGAAGAATGCTTCCACTGTGCTCAGCCCAGGGTGCCTGTCCCAATCCCAAAGTTAGTTGGTGGTAGTTGACCTGACACAGATTGAGGGAGGGAGCTACCTAGCGCTTCAATATGGACACCGTCCCGGTGGGTCGAACAGGACAAGCTTCTCAGCAAAAGCTGTTTCCATTGAGCAGGGACTGGACAGCTGCATGTGGATTTGAATTTGCGAGGTTGCGTGCCGGGACATGTGCGGACATTCGTCAACATATGCCCAAGCTTGCCTAAGCTGTCAAAGCATACCAAAACTGCTGCAAATACTCGGGCTGGCTTGAACTCAACTAACTCGGTTTCAATGGGAAAGCAATCCTAATATTATTGACCCCATCCTGATTAAGGAAACAAACATTCAAAGCAATAACAGAAATGATAGCGATGATTGTGCACACAAGACTTGCGCTAAACTTGTAACACTTGTCATGAAGCATCTGCCAGCGGCTCCTCCTGCTCATCCTCATCAATTGAGCTTTTCTTTTCTTCCAATTTCTGCTTTACCTCGTGAGCACAGAATTTACATCAGATTGAATGTCAGATTGAATGGACAGTTGATCACGGATCATAACAAGAAACCCTTCTGAGCTGAATTATCTTTATGATCCTGTATGCACAAAAAAATGAACACAGTTGAACACCTCAGCAACAAGGATATGATACAATCAACTTGACTGAAGAACTTGACCTTTGTCATCTTGCACCCTCGCATGATCACAGTAGGTGATCAAACAAATAACCAAAAACATCCTAGACATAATTAAATTCTAACAAACAACAGTTAGATTCTAACGCGAGGAATTCCAGGCTACGATCCCCCGTTCCAAAAGCACATGGCTTTCCAAGAACGACCGCACCTTCACTCACGTCTTCCCCTTCGGCCTGGTACAAGCGGCCCTTCCGGGAGACCAACTCCACGGCGTCCACCAAGTATTCCAGGTCCGTTTTGTACCTGAGAGATTGCTCGGCCACTCTGACGACGACCTCGACGGCCACGGATCGACCCGACGATGGCCGTGGGCGTTCAATCCTGGAGCAGGCTGGTCCTTATGTGGACATCCGAAGGAGGAAACTTTGGCCTAGGAACCGGGGGGAATGGGTACATATATAAACACAAAAAATAGTACAAAGCAGTACCTCCCTCCCTCTCGCCAACACAGAAGGCCATTTCTTCCTATGTTCATCACTGTCCCCCCGCTATGCCAGCCAATGCTGACGGCGAGCAATATGCCAGCTGTAGTAGTAGTGGGAAACTGTCTTTGGACATCAATTAGTTGGTCTTCCATGTAGGTCTGAGGTAGGGCCTGCATGTTTTGAAACAAAAGGTAGGTACGCCGTCAGTTTCCCAACCTCTTCTTGAACGTCTTCGTCCTGCTGAGCGATCTTGCGTGACAGCAGCACGCGATATCTATATATATATATAAATATTATGTGACTATATATTACCTAATCCAGTTGGCAGTCAATTTTCCAACGATCTATTATTGTAATTATATACCTTCATGACTTCATGTTGCCTTGATATCAATTCAATGTCAAGTTACCTCAGGAAACCGGAAGAAAACACGTGCGTCGTCCTCGCTCGGTGTTTGGTTGACGTGGGCTTGACCTGCGCCGTCTTCCCGAGGAGTCTGCGCTTGACCTGCGCCACACCGTCCTACACCTGTCCTTCTCCTCGGCTTCTCTTGCTCGTTCCTCATCCCTCAGCCGCTCCGAGCTGATGATGTCAAACAAATCCTCCGGCCACGGCGGCACGGAGGATCGAAAGCTGCACAGCTCCGGAAGCCAAAGCAAGCGGATGCGAAGAGATGCGAAGCAGCCGAGCCACCCAAACAGCTCTGTCTTGGGAGGTGTTGGTCAGTTTGTGTGGCGGTACAAGTTAAACATATAGTCATACTGTATACTGAACTTGTAGAATTTGCACACAATATCGCTGAGCCATTGCAGAATCAAACATTTCTGATTTCCCTGCACACATAAGAAGTCTTTGACCTTCCAGATCTTATAGAAGAGATGGATGGTCCCCTGGATCCTAGGGTCATAGGCTCAATTCAGAATCTGAAAGATTAAATTGCTGTAAAAAATGCTAACCACCCCGCCGCATTTAAGTACAACAGCCAAACGGCAATCCCACAGGTCTTCACATAGGTCCGTCATGGTCCGTCTATAGCGCACATGCCAATTGACGGTCCAAATTCTGTCAACAACCTCTGCATACGAGTTATTTACATGGCCCTTCTCCCCCAGTAGCACTGATGCAAGATCCTTTGGATGCACTGTTTTATCTTAACATTCCTGCAAATTATTTCATGGATCCTTGTCCCTCAAGCAGATTTAATATCCTCTAAGTATATCTAACCTTGACCTCAACGGTGCTTACTTGATTCTGATTCAATTGATCAGGGAACAATATTTTGGCCGCTGGGGTCCCTTCACTTCATGACTTTTCAAAAATGAACTCATGAGATACCCCCAACCCAGTAGTCATATATGTGGGTGACCACCACCTACCCCCCCCCCCGGCGTTTCGATTAATTTACGACACTTTTGCTTCAAACATATTGGTTCAAAGGGTGACAGTGACAGGTCCCCTGAAATAAGTCAGCCTGGCAGCCTGGCACAGGTGATTAAGGACTGTGTACAATTATGTATGTATATATGTATGACTGTGAAATCACAGGCTCCAAAACTTCGCTTCTAGTACTTTGGCATGCTTCTGGGTCTTTAGGAGCTTCTTTGCCTGCCAATAAAACAATCATTTGCACTGCATACGCACACGTCCGCACATCTGTTGCCCATCCATCCGCTGAAGGTCGACCATCCAAACCAACCGATGCGCTACCTGCGCCCGCCCGCCTCTGGATGATCCTCCTCCTGCGTGCGAATCCCGCAATGCAGCCAATCCCACGTTGACCCCCCACCTCCCACTTCATGAAGAGGTACCCTGAGGTTCTGAGACTTGCCACCGAAAGCACATAATATGAACACAAACGCAAATACCACCTGTGGGAATGCATTTCAAGGGACTAGGGAAACCCACAAATGAATTACTGAATTGACAAAAAACATAGCCCATTGGTCCGGTGAGTCTTTGAGTGCTCACACACGCCCATTGATCGGTTCGTCGGTTCTTCTGGCTGCTCACGGTGCGCGCGGTTCATCGCGCCTCCGGCGGCACAGCCTCCGCTGGCGGTGGCTTCTGGCTGAGCCTGGTGGCAAGGGGCAAGTCTTGAGGGGTCATGAGATGTTGGCGAAAGCATGGAACCAGACTTCTGACCATGAAACATATATTCAACTCACTATGATTCGTTCTCCTCACGGCTCTTACTTCGTGATTCGGGTCACCTGTTACCTAGCAGCATCTATTCCCCCCACAAGTGCCGCGTGCACATGAGCTCTTCGCCCAGGTGCTCAGGGTCGACCTTCAGCTTCTTGTTGCTCTCGACCTCTATCTCATTTGGCCGCTTCTGGGCCGTGGTCACTGGCTCCCCCTGGCTCACCTCAAGGTCAGGTTGATCCAAAGAGGTGCCCAGTAAGGACTTCCCACGTTTCAATCATTGATATCAGTTGGTCAAATACATCCTCCAAACATTCCAAACTCATGATGAACTGGTACAAACACCATCAAGATTGATCTACATACACAATCCTTGAGTGTCATCAGCCAGCCTGCCTCGAGCTCGTCCTTGCCCTCTTCCCTTAGGACTTCTGCCAGCGCACCCTCATCCACTTTCAGGCGCTCCTGGGGTGTGGAATGTTCAGGGACAACGTTTGCTGCAAACCCTGCGAATCAATGCCGCAGCCACCCAGTTGCCACATCACCTGCCCAACTGCCCAGGCCCACACCACTCGTCTCAGCTCCGCTCCGTGGGCGAGAGCTCAGCGCCCGTGAGGGCCTTCACGGATTCCGGGCTGAAGAAGGCATGGCCCAAGGGCTCATCCTCCAAGTGCCTCCAATGGCGTCGCAACAGGACACAAAGAGAGGACAGTGCTGACATAGGATTGAGTAACCTCCCCCCATTAATCAAGCCCAGCTTGAGCCGCCAATACTGAACTAATTTTAAACTTGAATTCCACATTTGCATCACCAGCTGCCCCAGAAAGATAGTTACAACTACAACTATTATAACTATGATTACTTATTTACTTTCTTCTTGGTCAGTATCCAATATCTTCTGGTCCACTGCTTCTCATCCTCCTTCTGCTTCTCATCCTGCTTTTCTTCTCATCCTTCCCTCTAAAAAAAACAAAACACTTGCTAGCAAAATTATTTCATTTTCCCTTATTTGTACTCTATCAACATCCTAAGGTGTTCAAGCTCACAACAGGTACCTCTCACACAGGCCCTAACACCCTCTAATAGTAGGGGTCCCTCCCCCTATTAATCAAACCTACCCTCTGGCCTCCATCTTGTTTTCCATCTCTTTCATCCTGCAACCCCCTTTCTTGTCCTAATCATCCCAATATATCCCAATCAAAAAACTATTGTCTCTTTCAATCTCTTTCAACTCTTTCCTAATCACCCCAATGATCCCAATCTCAATCTTTCCTAATCTTATCATCACCTCATCATCCATCATCAGGTCATCACCTTTATTAAGGGGATGTGGTCTCCGAAACCTTGTTGACCTTGTTGACCTTAAAGGGGGGTGATTAATCCGACGTCGACATTAAGGGTAAACATGGTAAAGCTACTGGTAAAGCTATGTAAAGATACCAGTAAGGCTGTGGCTACACTAAGGAGATTGAGGTACGGACATCAAACATCCGGCAGGATGATCAAATGTTTGACTTGGCCTAAGGCTGAATATGGCAAAATCGGAAGTTGCTTTGTCAAATGCAGAATAATTGTTCTGTATTTGCTTGCTTTTGGGAGACTCATGTTGTTGGCCTTCGCTGTTTGTTTGTTTGTTTGTGTGTGTCTCATGTGCTGCGTTTCCGGGAGCGCCAATAAAGACCAAAACCTCTGACTGTTGCTTGCATGTGTTGCATGGGTGAGTCATGTTGTTTGTGTTGCTTTTGCCGGCATTTCTTGCGCAACCTATTCAAACAGGATGTCATGCGAACCACCACCAGCCAGGAACAATACAAAACAAATCGATGCCCTCGCTTAGCTCAGGACCCAATGACTTCACGCCACCCATCCAGGAAAGTGGAACAATGGAACATTGCGGGAGGATGCGGGAGGTCTTTGGTTCACAGCAAGTTAAGTAGTGAAAACATCTCAACTGAGACTGTCAAAAGAAGCTGAATCTTGGAAGACTACCTGCTCTTCTCTGTTCAAACCCGCATGACTCCAGGACGTTCCAGGCTTCAGGAGTGCTCTTTTGCACTTGCGCCTATCCGGATCGGCAGCGTAGCCCAGCGAGACTTCGGTGATGATGCCTCGCGACTGCGGAGGCTTTCGGAGAACCCGCAAAGCCAGGAAAAGTCTCAAAACTATAACACCAAATTTTAAGCTTTATCTTCTTGCGGTACATTAAGTGTATATTGAGCGCGTTTTTCCTACACATGCGAGGTGAGCACGGCCTTGCTTCAGGTGAGCACGGCTTTTTGAAGCGAAGTGCACGAACTCGCCTCAGGACGGGCGAGAAGAAACACATGACTCATCGCCAAATCGGACGGAATGGTCGTTCAAGAGGCAGGCCCATGGCATCCGCACAGCATGTAGAGCTATAATATGAGCTAATTCCATAAAATTGAGAGGAGTGAGCGAGACACCAACATGTTGAATGAGTCGGCAAGGTGTTGCGGACACAAAGAACTTGAACTGAACGGAGCCAGTTAAAAGGCCTGTCGCGAGTTTGGTCTTCCTTCGTGCTCATCTGCTGTTCCGTCCATTTCTTCAGGCACCAACAGTCGTCAAATGCAAATGAACCAAGTCCATCTATCCCACCGAACCCGTGACCCCGGTGGAAACCGTGAGGTCACCGGATCGACCGGAACGACGAACCGCCCCAGTGGCTGGGATTGAGCTTGGCATAAGCCGTCAGTTCCATACAGCCTTTCAGCTCACGGAGCTTCTCTGGCAGGCACTGCAGCACCAAAATGTGCCTCGGGATAAAGTGGTGATCGAGCCTGCCCACCCAGTGACCGAGATCGCGGATGATCGAGCGAGGACAAAGAGCGAGCATGCAATGTGCCTTTCTTTCTCTACAGTCTCTACAGTATGTCTTTCTCCGTCTTTGGGGTGTATACCGAGTATGATCCCCAATTCCCAATTATTGTCATTGGCTTTCCGTCGGTTTGGCAGGTGACTCTGCAAATCTCATTCTTTGAGGTTGTCCTATATTGGTGCCCTGACTCAAACGTAGGATTGCATCTGAACCGGCTTAGAGAACAGGCCTTCTCTTTCGTGCAATTACATAATAATATATATATAACCTCTCTTGTAGCCCTGTTGGTGCGCGGTGGCCTGAAAGCGAATGCACATATATACAGTGCAAAAAAAGACGGTCCGGTTGTCGGCGGTAGTGCTACTGGTGTATGAAATCCGGAGCCCTTCAGAAACTCAACATACTGTGGCTTACAGTGGTTTCAGAGTAGATGACACAAACCTAAAAATGTCTTTTAGATGGGGGTGCAACCCTAAACCACCTCAGGAGAATTGTGCCATATACTCTGAAACCACTGTAATTGCTCTCTAGTTATACAGGAAGGCACTTCCTAAACTCTTCCCAGGCACTCAAAAGCACGGACCTCCTTCTCAGAAAGCTCCAAGCGCCTAAGGCAAACACTTTGCGGACCTCCTCATGAAAATCATGAACACCTGGCCCTGGCATACAAGCCTGGCACCAAAATCATCCGCCTATCTTAAACGAACTGGCCACCTGTTCAGTTGCAGGGCATACTTAGTAGTAGCATATACTGTATCCTCAGCAACACATGGGTGTGTCTGAACATGGTGACAGCAACCAGTACAACTGTCCGCTTGGAATTCCCGTCCGAAAGGTCCAGTGGCCCCAATCGGCTCGGGGACGGCATCCGGAGGCTGAAACAGGTGCAGTTGTTGGCGCGCGTGAATCAAAGGCCAGCGACCATAAACAATGACTACAGCTTGAACTGGCCAGCAAAACCCAGCCGTGTACGCATGCCCAAAATCAAATTCAGCAAGTATGTGTATGTACTCAAGGAAGAATGTTGCATCTTTATCATCTTTTAAGGCCCATAGGTGCAGCTAAAATGATCCTCGTTCTTCTTTGGATGTCCTCCCCCAACCCACCAGGCCCCTTTGCCTCACCACTCGGGTGAATCTTGGCGCGAACCTGGCCAGTGGCTGCCCGAGGACCCCTACGGCCCATTATACATGGGGTCCCTTGGCCGTGCAAGACCACCTTTGGCTGTGAAACACCACATGAGAACCGGAAAAGCTTGGCAACAAATCAAGTGCACGTCCACGTCACAGGTGATCCTAGTCTTTACGAGATCCAAGCCCTCTTCTCGCTCTGTGGGAAAGCCTTTTGGAGTTCGCCAAGCCACACTGCGCTGCCTTCAGCCTCTGCAGCTTGAACTTTTCTGGCCTGGCGCCAGCATGGGTCCCACAGCCTAGTGCCTGACTCTCAAAGAGCAACCATGTCAATGCAGGCCTAAAGCGGTTCACCATTCCGAATGAGAAGGGAGCATCTCGCCTGATTCTTCCAAAAATAAACGCCTAGTCTAGGAAGCCTATATTGAGGTGCTTGACACAGGTCAGCTTGTGAGCTTGGAACCCCCAAACCTCCAGGCTCAAGAGCCACGCTCCACAGTCTTGCAGGCCCATCCTCAAGGTGCCTGGGATTTGGGGAGCTTTGATGCTGAGTGTTTTTCAAAAAGCGTCGCTCTCACCAACCTGTGCTCTTGACGACCCCGAAGAATCAGCATGCAGTCTCTCTCTCTCTCTCTCTCTCTCGTTTGTCAAATTGAATCACCTGCTCACGCTGCTCTTGCTGTTGGCAATTTTTGTTGAATCACTTATCATTTGTGTCGACGCTATGTCATTGAACGAAGTAAATTCGGTAAATTGATTGTTTGGGGGTATGTGACCACAAGAGCAATATATAGCCCTCCAATCTGCAGCACACAACACCTTTGGCATTTCTGGGACTGACGGGGGGAGCATATTTGAAAGCTCTCTTGGTTGTGAACATATACACTACCTGAATCGAACTACTGAAACTGACGGATTTATTCTTGTAGTGGTAGACTGTACACAAAACTTGCTCCCGGTCAGGTCTCCAGGCGCTGTCTCTCTATCAGCGGCTCCAAGTTAGAAGCCTTGGTTGACAGGCGTGAGCTCTCCCCTCTCATAGTGAAACAAGCTTCCAACCATAAACCACAGCTCCGAGAGATCCTACAGGTTGTATCTGGCTGTGTGACATCCCTACCTGCACGCTACCGTCGACTGCAACCCAAAACACGTCGACGGTCGCCGCTCTTTTTTCAGCCGCGTGTGGAGGGCGCCGGCACGGCCAAGACCTTGTCGTAGAGATGCGGCCTAGGACGAGGAAGGGGACGAGGAAGATGAGGAACATGAGGATGTCGTAGAGCTGGGTCTTTGGTCCGAGATTTGGGATGATTCTTCCTCAAAGATCTACGGCAAAGGAAGTTTGGCTCTGTGGAGGGTGTCTGGACTCTAGACCCAAGTCGATGTTGAGCACAACCAGCAACCACGCGGCGCATCCGGCAACAAACCCATCACCACTGGACAGCTGATAGGGCCAATAGGAGCGGTTACACGTGGAAGGAGCGCATCTGACAATCCCACTAAACTAAAGTAGTTACAGCATATATATATATATATACAGTATATAATTGCCTGGAATACTCACCCAATGTCCTGTTTTGGGGGAGCAATTGAACTGGCTGGCATTCTTAGATCTGTAATTGCACATATGTTTCCCATGAACCTACAGTAAGAAACTGTAGAATTGCATATTACATATAAGTTGCTGAATTGACTTTGATTGTTTCTTTACATGCTCCATTGATTGGGCGGCCGGACAAAACACCGTCGGGATCCAGCTTGGCTTTGAGCTGGTCATACTCTGCACCGTTGTACTTCTTGTAGAGGTATTCCCTGGCATGGCTTCTCTCAAGGTACGTGTGAAAAGACACGGCAGTCTTTGGAGGGAGCGTGTGACCTTGCATTTCTGCATTTTTGAAAGGGGTGTCCCTTAGTGCCCTTTCTTCTGCCATTTCTACAAAATGCGAAGCCATACTCATCTGTCATCTGCTATCAATGGCCCATTTGCACACACCAAAAGTCTTAGCATTTCGGCACTCAAGGGCTCCATGATAGGTCAAACACAGGCACCTCGAGAACGTCACATCGGAGTAGAACGCCTTCTGACCATCAAACTCTTCCAACCTCATTGATCTTGCCACTCGAAAGAGCACGGAGATTCCATGGGATTCCATTGACGTAGTGGTGAAATCCTTTTTCTGGTGGGTCTTTTAATTTGCACTAGAGCCATCTAGAGCCAAACAATATTACCTGACACGGACCCCTTGACCCCTTGCTTGGCTCGTGTCAACGGTTGTTGGCCCTTCAAGCATGGAACCCAAGGTTGAAGCCCAAAAATAAATCCACTTGGTCCACTCTCGTCGCGACAGGGCGCAATCGATCAATCCCCTTGTTGTGATAGAGCTCTTCATCTCCGCAGGGCACAGCACCGAAACAGGCCACATCCATGATGTGTGGCACATCTGGCAGCGGAAACCTCAGCGCAAACCCTGGATCCAAACAGGTCTTTGAGAGGTGAAGTGGTTCAAAGATGTTCAAAGGGTGGACCGGTCGACCACCTTGCTGAAACAAATCCAAAGACCGTGCATTCAAGCAGTCTGTTGGCACTCCGCCAAGTGACAAAGGCTGCTCTCCCGGGACAACACCTGAACTCTGTACGGGCCAAACCCGATGTTCTCTCCAGGGGCGGTTAGGCTGTTGAAACTTAAAGACTGCATGTTCACAAGACTGTCAGTCATGACTTTCACATGATCAACATCTTCAAAGAGGCGCTGATTTGTCTTTCTTCTCTTACGCTGACTGGGGAACATGGACACCTTTTGGAGAACTCTGTGCCAAGGATGGTGGATCGGTGGTTCAGGCTGTTGGCTTTTGCCACCTGGTCAGCCTTATCAAAACCTGTTCAATTGTACTGTCAAAAAAAGGGCATCTGCATGGCAAAGGCAATGCCAAAAAGTAACTTGAGATCTCATGAGCGCAGGGGAAAACTCTTTCAGTTCCTGCTTAGTTTAACATTAAACCTGGCCATGGAGTGAGTCAAGGATGGCTGAGGATGGTGCCAACTGTCAGCTTCCCGCCGGAACTCACATGCGCCGGAACGGGCGAATGATCTGTTTCTGGGCTGCCGGGCGAACTGGGCACATCCAGAACGGCAACTCGCCATGTGCCTGTCCGTAGGGTATATAAAAAGAAAGCTAATGTAATACTGTATAGACTTAGTTATGCAATGTTATGCATATCTACATGATTTTACATGTACATGTTCTTAAGGGAGATCTTCAAAGCGTCATCTACCCACGCAACTCACCAGGCCCGGATGTTTGGCGCCCCGCTCCTCAAGACCTTTGGCAAAGCTGGGGACCTGGTCGAAGCGGACACCCAAGTCCTGGTCGATCGACATCCATCCACTGGGCATCCGTGGTCCGTAGCCGCCCCTGAGTGAAGTTTTAGTTCACATCCAAGACGAATATACTATCGAGACATGGCCGCCAGTTCTTGTATCTCGGTGTGCTCAAGGAACTGTGGACTTGGTTTGAGTGTCGTGAGTGTGCATGTTTGCATGTGTTCATTGGCTTTGTGAAGTGCTGGCTGAACCAAAATGAAGGCTATTGGGCCAATTTTGAGATCTTTCAGGGTTGAAGTAGCAGAACATAAGCTCTTCCCATCCACCAGCATCAAACAAGATGTAGCGGGTTATATACAATAGTACTTCTTGAGCTCATCCATGTCAAGACTCCGGGGCTGCCAATGGGTGGGGAATGCCTGTAAGTCTCCATAAAGCCAGTTTCCAGTCCCCAAACCCTGGTCCTGGATGATCCGCTCGGTGGGAGGGCGGAAACCAAAGGCAGCACCTCAGCTTCCACGGTCTATTGACACACGTCTTGGAGGGCCTAAACTGCGAAGTGGTATAAAATCAGTAATTACAACCTTTGGTGGCAACATGCCATGAGTGTTCTGAAAAGTCGATGGCAGGTGGCATACTATAAATTATAATCTCATGTATCGATTTCACACACGTGGGTCATGGGTACGAGCAAACCCTCATCGACAGTGTGGGGTTAAACAACATAATATATAAACTTGAGGCCAAGGGGGGGGCGAAAGCTAGCGCTCCAGAATGGGAAAGTGGAGGGCAGCGAGGTAGGAAAAAACACGGCGCTCTTTTTGGAGGCAGGGGTGAAGAGTCCTTTATATGTGGCTCTTTGCCCGGATCCTCCTGCGAGAGAAGAGAGAGAAGAGAGACGGAAAGACGAGAGACAGAGAGGAGAGAGAGAGAGAGAGAGAGGAGAGAGAGATGAGAGAGATGAGAAAGAGATGAGAGAGATGAGAGAGATGAGAGAGACAGTGAGACAGTGAGAGAGTGAGAGTGAGAGTGAGCGAGTGCGGCCGCAAGATACGCAACGCTAACCGCATGCCAAAGAGCGACGACAGGACGGAGTCGAACTTGCGAAGAGGGAGGAGGGAGGAG